AAACTAAGTATCATTTACAGAGTTTCAGCCACAGCCTACACTTCTCTTCTTACCACATCACCTACCACATTATCTTCTTCACACTTGTTGTCTGTCCCATCTTGACTGCAAGAGAATCCCTGCCCATTAACCAGCCAAATTCTCCCTTCTCATAGGCAGTTTCAGCTTCTCCAGATAGCTAGAGCAGAAATAGGTACACCATGATAGTAAGTACAAAAAGAAAACACACTTTCAGCTATCCACTAATTTGTATGAACACATCCTGGAAGCCTCATGAGTGATATAATCTAAAGAAAATGAATTCAATTCTTTTAGGTATTCCTCATAGATAAAAGGAAACTGACAGCTGCAGGCACTCATAGCTCAGGTGTCAATATCAATCTTTGTAACTCGCAGAAGCAAACAGAGTAATAAACCCTCAAGAAACCCTCCAATTCTGGGTATGTGGTCCAGTTTAAGATCCATGAACTAATATTCAAAATAGTCACTAAGAGTCATTGGATATTTTTCTCTGTAACACAACTGTTCAAATCAGATCTCTGAAATCAGGTTTAAAAGGAAATTTGAGAGCAGGAAACTGATTGAAAAATACTGTCTCAGGGGACTGATTAGCAAAGATTGGAAGAGACTAGTAGAAATAAAATGTGATCGGAACAACAACTCAGTTTGTCCCACAGGAAGCCCTGTAGAAGAAGTAGTCCTTTAGTTGAAACAAAAGGGATGAGCTTTTGAATTCATATTTTAAAGACCCATTGAATAAAGGCTAACCAGAGAATAAATAGCCACCAAACTCCATAGAATCTGGGGATCATTCCATGTTTTGGTCAGGAAACAGACTCTGAGCACATCTTCCCCAGCAGTGACTTCTTGTGCTTTGATTTCTCTGCTTAAACATTAAGTATACATTATACATTAAGTTCTAGAAACCTTCTCTTATTGGATGCTATGTGCCCCCTCTTACGGGAGAAACATGCAACAAAAGTGTTAACAGGACAAGCTACAGACCTCTCACTGAAGTTCATTCTCAAGCCCACAACTGTTGCTTACCACCTGTGTCCTCTACCACATTAGCATTTGTGTCCCCCTCTACACCAGAGTGTTTGAGACTTTAGGGAAAAGAAAAAACATCTTTCAAGTTATTGTAGTTACAGAAGGAAAGAAGAGGGACTGTGAGACTGAAAAAATATTCCAAAAATGATAGTAAGTGTTATTACAATAAAAATATCAAGTGACATTTTATTTACTAGCATTAAATAAATAAAAACAGAGTTTCAAACCTAGTTACAATATGATTTACAATGACCACAAGAGTCCAAATATAAAGATATGATTCTTAAAAAGATACATATAAAATTTATAAGCAAAAACCTAAAAAATAGTATCAATTAAATAAATGACAAATGGATAGACATACTACATTTATGGACTAGAATATATTTATATTTAATACATTAACATATGTATTTAAAATTAAATTTTTTAAGTGTAGCTTAGGAGAAAATCTTTGGGACCAAATGCTATCAATGAGTTATTAGACTTGACACCAAAACAACAATCTCCAAAGGTTAAGATTGACTTTACTATAATTGAAAACATTTTTTCTGCAGAACATTTTCTAGAAAATATTTTTCTACAAAAGTCCATGTGAAGAGGATGAGAAGACATACCATAAACTAAAAGAAGATATTTGCAAAACACTTATCTGACAAAGAAGGAATATCGAGAACATATTTTAAATTGTCAGACTCACAGCAAAACATAAAATATATAATTAGAAAACTGGCAAGAGCAGATTTACTCCAGAGAGCACATCAATGACCAATAAGCATATGAAAAGATGTTCAGCAGAATTAACTGTTAAAGAAATACATTTTAAAATCATGGTGTAACATCACCACAACCTAATAGAAGAGTTAAAATAAAAAGCTACTAAATGCAGGAATGAATGCAGAGAAATCAGAGCTCTCATATATTGCTGGTGCAGATGTCAATTTCCTAGTTTTGACACTGTATTATTGTTTTGTAAGACATTACTATTAAGTGAAGCTGGATGAAAGCTGGGTGCAATGTTGCATGGACATTTTTCCTACAACCATCTGTGAGTCAATAATCATTTCAAAATAAAATTGTCTTCAAAATCATTATCTAACTGTATGAGCTCTATAAGAAATCCATTTTTAATATATTTTATTAGCATATATTAGTTGTACAAAAGGGTTTCATTGTGATATTTCCATACACACATATAATATTCTTTGATCACATCCACCCCCTCTATTACTCTGACAAATGTATTTTAAATATTCACAGAGAGTAAACACATAAAGTAATAGGATGGAATAAATACATGCAAACACTAATCATCACAAAAATGGTATAACTATATTAATAAGAAAAAGATAGACTCGAGGTTGAATGGTATGCCACAATATAAAACACATTGCCTAATGATAGAAGAAATTTGTCAAGAAAACAAAACAACCATGAATAATCCTGCAAATAATGGTAGAGATTCAAAATCCATGAAGCCACACTGATAGAACTAAAGAAGATATAAACAAAACCAGAATCTTAGGTGGAATGTCTTAACATTTTTCTTTCAGTAATTGATCAACCAATTATACAATAGACCAGTATACAAAATATTCTAGACACTATTAACAACCTTGACTTAATTGCCATTTATACAAAACTGCATCAAATAGCAATAAAGGCATCCTTTCCAAGTGCATGTGCAACCAATGGACTGGATCAGAGCCAAATTTAGATGGGTAGAATACTGGAAACTATAGCATATTGTTACACCGTCCTTGAACAAAACATAATTACAGCATGACAAATACATTCTCTTCGTACGTTCAAGACAACATAATGTAATTTACATGGAGCTACATCTTAAAATATGAAACTACCACAATTATAATTTAGATAAAATTCTCATTTTTTAAAGCATGCATCAACCTTTAAGTTCATCAATTCCCTACTTTGTCCCCTCTGCTCTTACTGCTTCCAGAGCTTCTGGCCTTCCCAAGACCCCATGAAAGTAAAGCTCTTTCCTATCTCAAGTTATTTCTGTGTGCTCTGCTGCTACATGGAGTTCTGTCTGCTTTCCCAGGCTGCAACACTCTCCGAGTAACCCACCAGATCTCACTCTAAACACAGCTTTAAGGAAATATTTCCTTGATGATTTCCCACCCATCTTCCCACACTCCCAAACCTTTGGCTGGGTTATGTTCCTCCTATGAAAAATGCTCATTGCTTGATGACTTGTGTGCAAACAAGCAGGATAAAGCAGGTTGCTTTATCCAAATTGGTTTGTTAAAACTACAGGTCACATCTTACACTTAGAAAAACATTCAGTAAACATGAGATAAGTTTAGGAAAAACTAATAAAAGAAATCTGCCTTAAAATTAAAAAAAATACATGTTTTTCCTCCATACTTCCTTTTCCATCTATAGATACCCATTTATTACCAAATTTACTTGCATCATACCAGTCTTTATAGCTAAACTGGAGTTTGATACAATCCCTGACTTTTTTTCATATTTTATTACCAATATTGAGCATATAATCAGCAAACATTAATGTGTCAGGTTATAAGTATTTGCTGGTTACAATAATTAACATTAATTCAGTGCTTACCATGTGTCTTGCATAGTGAAAAGTTTGTCAGTTCTCATCATAGCTCATCCTCACAACTTATGGCTTTTGATTTTTGCAATTCTGAAGCTTTGTTTCTCTACAGCAAGTAGAAAATAAATTTGTAAGTGACAAAATGGTGAATACTTGCTTTGTTGATACCAAGAGTAAGATATGCAGTTGATACAGAATTGATTCCATATCTAAGTACCAGAATAAGAGCCATCCTGGTTAGTAGAGGACAGTAGAAGCTAGAAATGAAAGGAAAAGTGAACTAACTGGTATATATGAAAATAAAGGGAAGAAGAAATGTTTTTAAAAGAGGACACAGAAGCAGGTGGGCACCACTCTCTGAGTGGACTAGAATGTCAGGCACAGATGGCTGCATTATACAATGAGGAATAATCTTGCATCTAATTTGTAATCTGGGGTCCTCCGTGTCCCAGGATAGAGTAATTTATTACCATGAATTGTATATTCTGGTCATCACAGTCATGGGGGCAAAAAGATCTCTGCTACACAAAGGAAAGAGAAGAAAGAATTAGAAATAACTCAGACTCATATTTAGGACTCCAGTAGATCTCTATGAGGCTTCATTTACAAACCAAAAATGACAGGAGACGGATAACCACCCCATGAACTCAAAATCACATTTCTTTGGTGTTTGGCTCCTGATTTCATTGACTCAAAATTATTTAATATTTCTAATGTCAATTTCCTACTTGATTTGTATACTAACTGTTAGTCACTTCTTGTTGTTTTGTTTTTGGTGGGACTGGGGATTTAAACTCATGGTTTCATGCTTGCAAAGCAGGCATTCTACCACTTGAGCCATTCCTCCAGTCTGTTAGTCACTTCTTGATTCTTTTTAGCAACAACATGCTGGTCATTGAAATTGTAGTCCTAGGTCTTATTAAACAAAAATCATCTATTCTTTAACCCACAGGATACTGGAACTGACAGAGACAGTACAATAGAGTAATACCACCAGTTGAGTTGAACCAACCATTCAGACAGACACCTGTTGTGTGGGGAAAAAAAGCCACATGTATTGACATAGCTTTTCTCTATCAGCCTAGTGACAGAAAAACACCTGGTATAACAAAGTCTTATATCTCATATTAGGAAATGTATAAAATTCAGCAGCCAATTGATGTTTGAACTTCAGAAAGTTTCCTTTGTATATAGAATCTAATGGTAGGGAAGATGTTAAACAGAGTTCCTATTGGCTTGAAGATCACCATGTAAGGGGTAGGACTGCATAGTCCACATCCTGTTGTAGCATCCCTAGTAAGAGCAGAGAGAGCTCCCTATATTTTCTGAGGAAGGCAAGGCTGTGACCTGAATCCTAAGGACCAGAATGACCACGTACAGATGCTGCTTTGTCCTGGAACTTGTTTTTGTCCTCCTCACTGTCTTAACAGCTGCTCAAGGTAAGCAGAGTCCCAGTACTTAAGACTGGAAGATATGGATTAGCTGCAAGGTACTGGGGAATGCTTTCTAGAATCAAAGGCACAATGCTTCTAAATTTCTCATTTGGTTGGGACCAATGTGAACCTCACTCATAGTGAATGATGATTTTCCTAAATTGGAGTCAGAATTATTTTTATTAAATAGTGAGATGTTATAAAGATATCAATTTTTTGACTGATCAGACAATATGTTAGCCTTTCTTCATACACCTGAAAGTTCAGCAAATGTCTGGTCACTTCCCAGTTTTCTCACCATTTTTGGCTAATGAATGGCCTCAGGCTGGGTCTTAGTTGTGTTCTTTTACTCTGTATTTCAACTCCAGAATGATGTTACTTCTGCTCTTAAATAGAGAAATGGATGAAGAAGGGTTTGAAGAGGATATGGGGTCTGATGTGTGAAGACAAACATGTCTTCTCAGTGGAAGACATGTTTTTAGACAGCAGTTTATAGAAATCACTGTAAGCTACCCTGTTGTATTTGATAGGTAAAATGGTAGTGACAGTGATATATGTATATGTAGGTGATGAGCGCAGATATGTAAACCTTGCTGCCTGTAAAGAAAGCCTTCCAACATGAACCATAATTATACCCAAGATAACCCTCACCTACAGTCAGACTGACTTTGAGATTGTTATTTCTTCCCTACAAACCCGTACTCAGCCCTTTTCTATAGTCTTTCCCAAGTCCTGGATTCTTGGAAGAACTTGTCTACCTGCATGTGTTGCCTCCATTCCTTTCTGTTGGGTCGCTGACCTCCAATCCCTTTATACTGGAAAGAAACTGATGCAGATATAGGTGCTCATGATGGATATTAACATTGAAGGCATTCAAAGGTCTAGCCTTATAGACCTAAGGATGTGCCTCTCCCTGTACAAATTTCCCCTTGCCTGTGGGCGCTTGAACTTGTTCTGTTACATTCTAAAGGATCTGCTGTTACAGAATATTAGGCTTGTGAATGTCTTCATGGTGAATCTTCCCTCAGGCCCTCCATGATATCTGGTGCCCACTGTTCCTGTGGCTCAGCAGAGCTCAAGATACCAGTGTTTGAGTTCCTAAAAGGAGAAATACCCAGCCAGGCCTAAGAGCTTCTCAGTGTGGGAGATACTCATCTGTGTTTCTTCACTCTGTTCATTTTCCTCATTTCAACCACCACCCTGCCCCCAGTCAGAAGCCTTTTGCTCTTCTTTGAGAAATTTTTCTCCTTCCAACAAGAAATTCTTTTCTTCATTCCCTTATTATATTTTTGAAACACCCAGATCCTTGGGTTTTAGACAAAGGCCAGTGATCCTTGTCTGCTTTCCAAGCTTTGCTACCTCTTAAGAGTAGGGGTGGATTCTCCAAAAATATAAGCTTGATATCCTTGTTACATTTGGTCTGTTCAGCAATGAGAGCAGTGAATTAATTTCTCATCAGGCTAAGAAGTAACTTCATCTCACTGAACAAGCATAAGTTTTCCTCAGAGAGAATTTTTATATGGTCATATTATGAAAGCACATGTTCACATATTACAGCATTCGGTTCACATGAGTTTTTTCCATTTACTGCTGAAATTTCAATGTTGATATGATGGAGTCAAAAACTTTAAAACTTTCTGAGCCTGGCACATTACAAGGGCTGTTATAGTGAAAATCAAGATGTTGCCAGGATCCTTTAAATTCTTCCTGAGCAGGAAATCTCTGTTTTAATGGAAGGAGTTTCTCAGTCCCTAAACAGACACACACACACACACACACACACACACACACACGCACCCCACACACACTCACACATGCACATATACATGTTCTTATGAAATTAGATCATAAAATCTTCTAAATTATTTTAAATCCATTTAAAGTTAATACCATAATTTATATTTATATCTGTCCCATCAAATATCTTCAATGTCATATTTATGACTGATGATATTTCACTGCAATTTTTAATCATAATTTACTTTTTTCCATTGCAAAATGCCATTATAAGTAAACTTGCTATGAACTACTACATTGATCTAATAGAAAGGCTGTGATTATTATTTTCAAAAAAAGCCATTTTAAAGGCTTCTACCTCCCTGGTGCTCCTTCCCAGCACTGTTTGCTAAGCTGGTCTCTTCTCCCAAAACTTTTAATTATGGGGATCCCAAGACTCAAACCCAGATCCTCTCCTCTTTCATTTTTCAACACACTTTTGGTGGTCACATAACACCTCACGGTTTTAATTATCATTTATTGACTGTAAATTCACAAATTCAGTCTCCTTCACAGACTTCTCTCCATATATCTGAAGTCATATATCTCTGGGTATTTGACCACTCCATTTGGAGCAGTACACATCTCACAGTAACACATCCAGAACTGAACTTCTGATCCCCTCACCCTCCACAAAAAACAATATTTGCTTCAACTTGGAGCAAACCCTTGGAGTCATCTTCAACTCTTCTTTTTCTCTCACATCTCACACCAAATACATGTGGAAAATTCTACCACTTTTACTAGAAAAATTAATTGAGGATCTTTTTTAAATTTTTTAATAGGACATATTCATTGTACAAGGAAGATTCTTTGTGACCATTAAAAATAGGCTTATATTGATCTTAAATGCTTTTTATATTTTATTTATCTTTCCAAAGAAATACCTTTGGACCTGTTGCTTTGCTCTGTTTTATCATTTTTCCTACATAATATTTTTCTTCTCTTTTTATTATTCTGTCTACTTTCTTTGGAATTATTATTTTAACCAAATTTAAAGCAATTCTTAGTGAAAAACATATGTAAAAATAATAAAGTTGTCCATCCTATTACCTCTTATTATTCCCCTCTAGCTATTTATTTCCTTCCAAATGTTATTGCTTTGTAATATATTGAATTTGTGTGATATTTAGATTATTATCTATTAATCATCATCTAGAGTCTTCCCCATGAAGACAGGCCTTTTCTTTACATTTTGTTCTTTTCTAAATTGTAAATACCTTCAAACTTCCCTGACATAAAATATTCAATAAATATTTCATGAACAGATGAACGCATTAGTAAAATTCAAAAAACAATTTTAAATCCCCAACAGACCCACAAAGAAGATTCTTATATCAAGAATATATAGCTATATATTAAAAAGCAAAAAGCAAGTGAAATAATCAATAAATGGGCTATACTTGTTGGGGACTTAAAACTGTTGCACACAATCCTTTTGAAATGTGAAGTAAATGGGGACTGAAAAGCCCATTATATTTCATTCCTTCCGTCCAGGAAACATCTTTTGCATTTTCAGAGTGCTTCTCCTTATTTCTTTTTCTTCCTCTTGATATTCTATCATTCTCTCTCTCTCTCTCTCTCTCTCTCTCTCTCTCTCTCTCTCTCTCTCTGTCACACACACACACCTCATTCAATTTCAACCTAAGTTATGGTAGAAATTGCCTGAAATCCACTGTTGTGAAAAATGTAATGATAAATATTTCAGAACAGAAGCTTATGCTCTTTTATTCCTCATATTTTCCCCCTTTTCCTTACACAGGATGAAATGATACCAAATGATAAGACCACATGATGATGTTTCCTATAATAAGACACTAATAATCATTTCTTTTTCCTTTTTATTATCATATTATTGTTGTACTTGGGGTACGTTATGGCATTTACAAAAGTTCTTACAATATATCATAGTTGAACCCCCCCTCCATCATTCTCCTTTGTACACACTCTCAAGACACAATGAATTGTGACACAAGAAGTGTCCAATCCTGAGAGTGAGCAACTACCAAACAGGCCACAGATGTTCCCTGCATACTGTAGGAGGTTTGATAGATAATATGGAAAATGTACACCAATTCTGGTATTTTATGACAAGTACCATGTATTCTGTTTTCTCAGTGTTGCTTTGCACATATGTGAACCTCCTTTGTTTTCAGTCCTATGTATTTTTTTGGTTCTGTGCTGACTCTGTGTCTTCTCTCGTATTATATTTCCTTAGTATATTTATTTGACCTTTGTGTAGACATTTCTGTCTTATCAGGTACACATGATTGATTTATTAATATTTTCCTCTGTCCTATTTCTTTGATGGAATATAAATTTTGCCATTCTTTCAAACAGTTATTTAATTTTCCATTTAAATGCAGGGAAATTGTGAGTACTAATTACTTGTGATGATTAAACATATCCCCAATTTTATTACCACAGATCATCGATATTAATTTGTATTTTTATCTACTGATTAGTAATTATTTAAAGGAATTATCTTCCAGCAGATTTTACACAGCAGGAACAAAGAGAAAGAGACAAGTGAGGACTTTCCTCTAGTGAGGTTTCCAGTGTGTGTGTGTGTGTGTGTGTGTGTGTGTGTGTGTGTGTGCATGTGTGTGTGTACGTGTGTGCATACCCATATATGTGCTTATTGTGAGAATGTGCCAAGTGATGCAACAGTAAATTGATTAAATAATTTCAATGGTGATAAGGGACATGCTCTAGTGAATGTATCAACTCCAGCCTGTTAGACCAACACTGAACCTTGTCCTCTCACCTGTCATCTTGACTGGGCCCAGGATCACTGAGAGCCCGGTCTTGGGCAGGACCTCCACCCTGACCCAGTGTTTCCCCATTGTCTGCTCCTGCAGAAATGAGATCCAAGAGCTGTCCAGCCACTGCCCCCTGCACAGGTATCTCAGCCCTCCCACCTTTGCCATGAGTCCCTGGGGCTCATTCCCTTGCACCTATGTGGTAAGAGGATGTGTTGCTGCCTTTTCAGACAGAGAAAAGCTCTGCCTCAGGTGATAAAGTAGCTCTGTTGATCAGGTGATACAAGTAGACATCAAGTTTATCAAGTTACTGCAACCACAGGACTCCAAAAGCTCCCCAGCATGTGCTGAACAATTCACACTAGAATGATCAATGGGTCACCAAAGATAAAAGAGAGAATATCAAACTTTCTTAGAATCAAACAAAAATGTAAACACAACTTACTAGAATTTCTGGAACACAGTGCAAACAATGAAGTTAAGAGTGCCTTCATTAAAAAATCAGAAAATCCCAAATAAATAACCTAGTGGTGCACTTTAAGTCTTCAAAAGGGAAAAACAAGCCAAACCCAAAGGCAAGAAACAGAAAGAATAAAAAAATCACAGCAGAAGTTAAAGGACTGGAGAATAAAAGAACTATATAAACAATCAATGAAATAAATAAATGGTTCTTTAAAAAGATAAACAAGATTGACAAACTTTTAGCCAAATTAATCTAAAGAAAGATGGTGACAACTCTAACCAACAAGATAAGAAATGAGAAAGAGATTATCATAATAAACACAGATAAAATTCAGAGAATCATTAAGGAATAAATCAAAAGCTTATGTTCCAATGAACTGGAAAATCTAGAATAAATGGACACATTTCTAGATGCACATGACCTACCCAAATTGAACCAGGAAAATATAAGACACTAAAGAGATCTACAACATGTAATGAAATTGAAGCAGTAATACTCTCCCAAAAAGAAAAGCCCAGGACCAGATTAATTCACTGCTAAATTCTACCAAACATTTAAGGAAGAACTAACACCAATGTTCCCCAAACTATTCCATAAACTAGAAAAGGATGGAAGACTATCAAACTAGTATTATTCTAACAACAAAACTGGGTAAGGACATGACAAAAGAAAGAAAACTACAGATGAATTTTCTTGGTGAAGATACACACCAGAATTCACAATAAAATACTTATATACTAAATTCAACAGCACACCAAAAACATCATACACCATAATCCAGCTGTTTTTTTTCCAGAGATGCAATGATTTTTTAACATATGCAAATCTACAGATTCAATGCAATCCTCATAAAATTCTAATATCATTTTTCACAGAAATAGAATAATCAATCCAAAAATTCATAACAAACACAAAGACCATGAATAAACAAATCAATCCTTAGCAAAAAGAGTGATACTAGAGGTATCACTCAAATTATACTACAGACCCATTGTAACAAAACCAGTATGGTACTGGCACAAAAACAGAGTTGTAGATCAATTAAATAGAATAGAAGATCAAGAAATAAGCCCCCATAGCTATATCAATCTGTTTTTTTTTTACTCAGGTACCAAAAACATACCTTGGAGAAAAGATATCCTCTTAAACAAATTCTGCTGGGAAAACTAGATATCTGTCAGTAGAAGATTGAAGCTAGGTCGTTATCTCTCACCTTATACAAAAATTCATTCAAACAGATCAAAATCTAAATCTAAGGCCTAATATTTTTGAAACTATTAGAGGAAAATACAGGGAATGTTCTTGAAGACATCAGCATAGGTAATGCCTTTTTAAATTTTTTTATTGTTCTGCTAGGTGAGAGTACATTGTGGCATTTACAAAAGTTCATGCAAAATATCAAATATATCATACTTGAATTCACTCCTCGTTTTTCCCCCTCTCCCCATTCCTGGAATAGTTTCAACAGGTACCAAGGTAATGCTTTTTTGAATAGCAATTCAATTGCTCAGGAAATAAGAGCAAGAGTTGACAAATGGAATTACATCAAATTAAAATCTTCTACACATCGACAGAAACAGCTACCAGAATCAAGGGACAATCCAAAGAATGGGAGGGAAATCCTTGCTAGTTATTTATTAGATGAAGGATTGATATCTAAGATACATAAAGAGCTCAAAAAATTAAAAACAAAAAGAATAATCCAATTAATCAATTGGCAAATGAATTGAACAGACTTCTCAAAAGAAGAAGCACAAATGGCTAATAAATACATGAAGAAATGTACAACATCTTTAGTCATAAAGAAAATACAATTAAAAAACTGCACTGAGATGCCATCTCACCCACTTAGTATGGCAATCATCAAGAAAACAAGCAACAAATGTTGGTGAAGATAAGGTGGGGGAAAGGAATCATTTACACTATAGGTGGGATGTAAATTAGCCACTATGGAAGTCAATATGGAGGTTCCTCAGAAAACTAAAAATAGAACTACCATATGATATGGAAATACCACATCTGTGCATATATCTGCAGGAATTTTTATCTACATACAGTAAAGATTCTTGCAAACCCCTGTTTATTATAGCACTATTTACAATAGCCAAATTATGAATTCAAAGAATCAATCAAATTGATGAATGAATAAAGAAAATGTAGTATACATACATAAAATAGTGTATTATTCAGCCATAAAGAAAAATGAAATTATATCCTTTGCAGGTAAATGGATGGAACTGGAAATTATCATGCTATTTGAAATAAGTTAGACCGAGAAAGACAAAATTGCATGTTTTCTGTCATATATGGAAAAAATGGAAAACATGAGCATAAAACTGAGGGACTCCTTGGGGGTCAAAACCAGTGGGAGCCAGGGTAAAGAAGAGGGTGAATAGGGGGGAAATAAGATCAAAGAACTTTTTTAAATATATGAAAAAAAATGAAACCCAATAAAATTATCTAATAAGGAGGCAAGGGGAGATAAGCATAGAAGGGTGAATTTGATCAAAGTACATTGTATTCATTTATGAAAAGTTAACAATGAAACTGCTTTATACAATCAATATACGAGAGAGAGAGAAAGAAAGAAAAATCTAGAACATGTAATAACCAGGACATGCCTCTGATCCCTTAGTTTTCCAGCTCTGAATGGCTATGCCCACAAGAACAATCCTGATTTGTCCTGGACTCATGGCTGGGACTCGAGGCTTCAGATGAACTCACCCTAGTTTCTGACTTCACTTTCTGATTAGAAACATTAAAAAATTTCCACTTCTCTTTTCAATGGCATTGTAGAAAATGTGGTTTAAAAATAAACAAATGAAATACAACCCCATTTTGGTGACTCTTTGAACTCATCTAGTGAAAGGCACTGCCAACTACTCAGAGTTGGGATTAAGACAATTCTAGTATACTTTTCTAACCTCCTAGGCAGAACTTCTACAAATCAAAAGGTTAACTTTGGTAGGATCTTTGCAGCATCTTTTACCTGGGACTACTCACTAGATTTTTTAGCATATTTTCATTTGCTATTTTTCAACCTTACTTATCTACTAATCGTTTTAGTTTCAGTAGGAAACCATATCCAGCTGCTGCTGTGGTACAATGATTCCACATCTGACCATCAGGGTGCTACCCATTGTTTAGTTAAATGAGACCAAGACACTAAAAAACCTTTCTGATTCCATGTGCAAATGCAACCACTGACATGATTCTCTCTTCTCAGACAGCGCACAGCTTCAGCTTGTGGATGGGGAAAATCACTGTTCTGGGAGAGTGGAGATCCTTCATGAGGGCATCTGGGGAACTGTCTGTCGTAACAACTGGGAATGGAGAGATTCCCAAGTGGTGTGCAGACAGCTGGGCTGTGGAGAGGTCATACATGGAACAACCTACATTCAATCTGACTCCAGGCCCATCTGGCTGGAAAACATGAACTGCAGAGGAGGGGAGTCTCACCTGTGGAATTGTCCTTCTTCAGGCTGGGGGCCACATGACTGCAGCCAACAGGAGGTAGTAGGAGTTCTCTGCTCAGGTATGGTCTGTGTATTATTCAATGGCTGGGATTATGGAAGGTTTTAGGAAAGTAGCTGTCTAGTCCCTAGAGAAATAGAGGTGGGCACACTGTAGAGACCTGCAAGGTCTACGCACAGATCCTGATTGCTCAAAGTAGGTGATGATGATGACTTTCATTCATTCCCTTGTTTGAGTCTCAACTGCTACTTTTTCCCTCTCCACTAATCTCACTCAACAAGAGAGTTTATTCTAGTATCATCACAATTAAAATCAAGTCTATTAATTTTATTCATATAATTTACTCATAATTTAAACATCTATAATTCTGCACGAGTCCTACCTTTACAACAAATGATTGTGTTAGAGGAGGAATGAGAATGAGACTGTACTTGTCTCAGTTGAACTAAATATTTCCATGTGTATTGCATAAGACCCTGTTTTATACTAGGTTACCAGGTGCATAGGCACAAGGGGTAGGGTTAAGCAAATCACAGAGGAATTTGTAGATTGTTGCAAATTTGCAATTCTTCATTGGAGATTAAGTTAAATACTCTTAGCACTTTGGCTGGAAGGGCCAAAATCTGTGAATGAACTGCCCTGATCTCCATTGTTATTAGAAAAGCTTCTACATATTCTTTTCTAGACAACAATGTATATATAAACCCAAACTTGTAAGAGAAATTTACCCATGTGCTGGCAAGCCAATGTTAGATGTAATGAGTCTCACTGTTTGTAAGAGACAGCACAGTTCATACCTGATGGCTAAAGTGAAAAAAGAGAAGTGCATTTGGGGGGGTTCTTTGATAAAAAACAAGGGAAAATGGAATTTTTGCAGAAGATAGAGTAGGCTTGAAGTACCTCAAGGAAGAGTGGATAGGAGCTGAAAACAAAAACAAGGAATCCTGAGCAGCACTGAGGATTCATGTGGAGTGAGGACAAGTATGGTTGATAAGTGTGACTCAGGTTTTGGTATTGACAGGCTCAGAATGCTTGGAAAAAATTTCCAGGTATGAAATAATAACACAGTTTATCTTTGTTATATATATGCCAAATACTAGACCAGGATACATCTGACTGCAATTTTTATATAATATTAGGAGAGAAAAAAGACATACTACCTTCTTTGCTTAGAAAGAAATCAGCCTCACAGACCTCACCTTGGAAATGCCCATCCTTTTGCTACATGGAGTATTCCCACAGAAGCTATTTGCTGTCATGTGCCAAATACACATCAGACACTTTCAGTTCATTTAGTTTTAATTCCCAAAGCTCCTAAGACCACACAGGAGGGGAGTCGTAACTTGTTTGGTATGGACTTTTCCTCCTTGACTAAAGTAAAGGTGTCTCTATCTCCTCTAATTTATAACACAGAAATCTGAACCTATTTCTCTAGAGTGCAAGATACAGATTCCCATATCAAAGGGTTTTAATTTTTGCAAGTTGGTTTCTGAGGAATTTATGTAAATTCTTAACTCAGTGGTCAGTTCTTAAATTGTTTTTCCTCTGTTCCTCCTTCTGCCTGAAAATATGTCCTCATATTTTCACATCAGGTCTGGAAGATTGATTTCCATTAAAAAAGAACGAGCTGAGTAGTAGCCATTAGTGTAAAGTTAATCTTCATCTTGATAATTTGGATAAATGTGGTATCAAACACAGGAAAGAATTTATTCAGTGTAGCCATTTTTGGGAACCAACAGGTAACACTAGCTTTGGGTTTACCCAAGGAAGGACAAAAGCAAGATACTAGAAGTATGCTCAGGAGACTGACATTGGTGGCTCATACCATGATCCTAACTACTCAGGAGAATCAAAGTTCATGACCAGCCAGGACAAAAAATTTGCAAGCTCCCATCTAAAACAATACCTGGGTGCAGTGGTGCACACCTCTCATCCCACCCTCAAGGGAGGATGAAACTGAGAGGATCATGGTTCCAAAAAGTTCACAACTCCATCTTGACAGAAAAAACTGGGCATGGTGACAAGTGCCTGTCATCCCACATACTACCGGAAGCAGAAATAGGAAGATCACAGTAAAGGCTAGCAAAGGCAAAAGCTGGAGACCATATGTCAATAAATAAATAAATAACAACAATAACTAGAGCAAAAAGGGCTGATGCATGGCTTAAGCATGAAGCCTTAAGTTCAAGCCCCAGTACAGTAAAACTGTGGTCTGTTTGATAATTACCTCGGGATAAGTCAGGGAAGACTTGTACATTATAAGCAGAAAGTTGCTGCTTCCTGGGGAAGGATAGTTTTGACTCTTGTCACAAGATGTTTATCAATCAGACCTGTAATTCCTGGAATTCCAAAAAACTGCTAGACAAGAAAAGAACAAGTCAGAAAGGCAAGGTGGAGTTAACTCTTTCAGGCTTAAAGTAATGATCAGAGATTTCTAGGAACCATTCCAGTGTTTGGCCACAGTTGAGCAGTTATCTGCCCTAAGTTTAAGGTAGGGGAGGATACGGATGTAAAGGGAAAGTAGAGATCTGAAGGTTTTATTATGTTTTCTTAGGCACTCATCAGACATCTGTAGGCCCAAGTGAAGAGTCATGCTAATTTTAGCAAAAGCAGTTTCTTAGTCTCTATAATAATAACAGTTCAACTACAGAGGACTTTAGTGACATCCCAGGAGAGTCTCTCAGATAGAATCAAGCAAAGATGTACTGTTATTACATCTGAATCAAGCCATCCTTCCAGGCTTTTGGGGAGTTAGAAATGTACCATCTACAAAGAAAAGAGGAAAAAGTAAAAGGCCCAGATGCTCTGCTTCAGTCATACTCAAGTGGTGGCCCTCAGTGGTGGTACTGGTCATAACCCCTAATGAGGAGGTGAAAGTGAGTGGAAACCAGAGTCTACAAGGAAAAGCATATAGCTGCACCCACAGGTGGAGCCTACAGCCAATCAGGGTTTCTGTTCTGGAAGGGACTGAAGAACATTGTCATTATTGTACATGCCCCTGAATATTCTAGTCTCAATAATCTGGTTACTAACTCAGGGTTACACTATTTAATGGGCCTTTTTCTTATGTCTAAATAGTAAGTAAATATAATTTTGAAGTTGTGATAAATACTGAAAATTTTTATCTATTAACAAAAGTTAACTTGGCATTATTATCTAAGCACTGAAAGTTTCTGAGGATAAAATTATAGAAAGAAAATAAGCTTAGTCATCATCATAAGTGATGTCCCATTCAATGGGTAGACATGGATTTTGGAAAAGAAAGGTTTATTATACACAGATCCATAAATGGTAGAATATATGGGATGTATTCTCTTTTTTTAGCAGTACTAGTGTTTGAGCTCAGAGCCTCATGTTTGCTAGGCAGTGTTCTACTCCTTGAGCTACTCCATCAGGTAGGATATATTCTTTTAAAATCATGTCTATGTGTATAATTTATGTTTATTCAAGGAATCCAGACTTCTGAACTGGCTCTGTAAATTTCCAGTACTTGTTCCTATAAGTCCCAATCTGCCACCAATTTTCTAATCCTCTTCCTATGACCCACCTCCGGAAAAAGAAAAATATTTACACCATAACTTCCACCAAGTTTTTTACAGATGCTCAGTGGAATTTTTTTTCTCTCCTATAGGATTTGTGCGTCTGGCTGGAGAGCATGGACTCTGTTCAGGACGAGTGGAAGTGAACTCTGGAGGAGACTGGATTCTGGTTTCTTATGGGAACTTCATGCTCCCCACAGCTGAGGTCATCTGTACAGAGCTTTGGTGTGGCAAACCTGTCTCTGTTTTGAGGAATGTGTCCAGATATTCCCGTGAGCAGGTCTGGCCTGAAGAGTTCCAGTGTGAGGGGCAGGAGTCTGAGTTCTGGTTGTGCCCCCGAGTGCCCTGCGCTGGAGGCAGCTGCCAACCACAATGGGGCAGTTGAAGTTGTCTGTTCTGGTGAGTCTCAGAGCAGGACAGTATATCTTCACTCTCTCTCTCTCTCTCTCTCTCTCTCTCTCTCTCTCTCTTTTCCTCCCTTTCTCCCTTCCCCTCCCTCTCCCCGTCTCTCTCCTTCTTCTTCTTTCTAATCTTCCTCCCTTCTACTCTCTTTAGGACTCCACTTCTGTCTGTTAGCTCCTTGAATATGTCCCTAATATTTCTGATGCCTTCCTTACATTTTTATACCAATCTTTTTCTTTCTGCTTTTGTTAGGAAGTTTTCTCCTGACATGAATTCTAAGTCACTATTTTTGTTATAAATTAGGTCTAAATTTTTTTCAATACATTCAGTAATTCTTAATTTTAGACACTTTATTTTCAGTTGCAATTGTTTCTTTGATTCTATTCATGCATCTACAATTCTGTGTTAAAATTTTTTCCTGTTTACCAATTTATTCTCCTCTTTCCTCTTTTCTCCTAAGTACATTAATCACAGTGTTAAATTCTTTATCTTCTAACTTCAACATCTTTAGCATGACTCTTCTTCCTTCCCTGATCCTATTTTTTCATTTTGTTAATGTGTCATGTGATCCCCTCACTTTATATGTGTTTTACTTTTTACTGGGTACTTAAAATTATGTATGAAATATGAGTTTCATAAGACATATTTTAACATCTAAAATATTCATCTTGGTTCTATTAAGTTAGTAGTAGAGAGTGCTGTTTATACAAATACCTAATCCAACCAAGAATGAGCTGGGTTGAAGTTTGCTTCTGTCCTGTGTCATGGACTTTCACATATTTCAGTTGAGAAACTAGATAATTTGATTGTTCAGCAGCACCCAAGAGAACAGGGGACTATCCACTCTGTTTTTCAAGGTCTTTGACATATTTTTATTTACCTACAGCACTTCACAGCTTCTATGTTGGGCAAAAGTTTCAGAGACAACATGCCACATGAAAGTATCCTCAAGTCTCAATTTTGTCAGTCTTGTTGCCTGTAACACTCAAAAGCTAGTCACCTTCTCTGCAACAACAGTCCCCTGCTTGTTGAAAAGTAGGTTCTGAGCCATTAGTCCATACACTGAATTGAGAAGACCCTTGGTGAAAAATAAGCTGCAAATATTTGCCTAAACAGTAAAATGATCTCTTTTCTTTGGAATTTTACCATCTTTAGTCTCTGTTGTGTACACAAAAGTCTAATATCTTTAACATTTCTACATTTCCAAGTTTTTTAGTACTAACCACTAGGACCATTGGCCTGCTGTGGACGCCTGTATTCTTCATTGGAAGAAAAGTTCTAGGTTTTATTCTCTAAGAGTGGGATATTAATGGGTATTACTTACCCTCTTTTTATGTCACCTTTTCACGTATAAAAAGTGACTCATAATAGAGTGGGTCTACTCAAATTTCCTGTTTAAGTGCATTCAGGACAGGAATATATAACCTATCACTGCTCTGAGGTAGGATTAGGAAAGCATAATTTTACCCCAGAGAACAAGGAATCACAACTTTGGAATACTAACAACTCCTGATATGAAGTGTAAGTAGAGAGTAGATATATTGAAGAATAGAAAAATTCTATGACTCCTGGAGATTTCTGGTTAGTATCAATACATCTGACATAATTTCTCAAGCGAGGTTATCCAATCTAATCAAACAATTGGACCTTTTCGAAATTAAGTGTACAGGTCTAGAGTTTAAAACCTAGAACCATAAGTGAAATGTTCTTAGATAACCCTGGCCTGCTGCATGAAACATTCATTTTTTGGCTTTGAATGTTCCAACAAAAACAGTTATGATTGGTCCTGAAATTATGGCTACTACCTGAGGTGGGGTTTTTTGGGGTATTTTTGTTTGTTTGTTAGAATCTATTGTGTCCTGGTATCTTTTTTTATTGTTTATTTATTCATGTGTGCATACATTGTTTACAGGCCATCTCTCCTCGCTGTCCCCTGCCCCCCATCCCCCTTAATGAGCTCTGCTAAGTTCCTCAATTCAGAGATTTCAATTCCATGTGCTCTAATCTTTTTGACTGTCAATGGTGTTAGAGTATGTGAGTTTTATAAGAAATCAATTAAGGTAGTGGCCCATTATACTGACCCTATGAAATCATCCAGCGAAAGACACTGTCAACTACTCATGATAGTCTCATGGGATTCAGACATTTTCAGTATACTTTTCTGACCTCCTCTGCAAAGCTCTACAAATTTGAAGTGACCCATGTGATCACTTATATCTTAGATAACTCACTAGCTCATTTTAATTTCAATTCTTCTTCTTCTTTTTCAATCCTGCTAATCCTCTGATCACTTCAATTTCCATAGGAATCCAGCCCCAACTGATATTTGGTGCAATGATTCAATGTCTGCCCAGTGGGCTCTGCAGCCTGAGAGTGGGGTGCTGTCCAAAGCTTCATTGAGTGTGTCTCAGGAGACCAGAAAACTTTTCTAATTCCCTGTCTAGAGGCAATCACTGGTATGATTCTCTCTCCTCAGAGAGTCCAGAGCTTCGCCTAGTAGGTGGAAGGAGTCACTGTGCTGGGAGAATAGAGATCCTTCACCAGGACACATGGGGAACCATCTGTGATGACAGCTGGGACCTCAAAGATGCCCAGGTGGTGTGCAGACAGCTGGGCTGTGGAGTGGCCCTGAATGCCATGACTTCTGCTCATTTTGGTGCTGGATCAGGGCCCATCTGGCTAAGTGAAGTGAATTGCATAGGAAAGGAGTCCCACGTGTGGAAGTGCCCTTCCTTAGGCTGGCACAAGTCTTTCTGTGATCACAATGAGGATGCAGGAGTCATCTGCTCAGGTATGATGAGTGCATTGTCCACTTCTTGGAGAATGGAAACATCCAGGGAAGCAGATATCTAGCATCTGGAAAATAGGAGATAGATCAGCTGAGGATGACTGACAGGTCTATCCGTAGATCCTAAAGGCTCAAAGTAGCTGATGATAATGGGCTTTTTGATTTCCTTTTATGAGTCTCAACTGCTATTCTTTCTTTAACAAGATTGCTTATTCTAGTATTTTCCAAATTAAAGATCTATAATTTTATTTTTATAATTTACTATTTATAAAAGTAAACATCTACAAACCAACACATACCCTCCCTTTGTGGCAACGTGTCCCTTTAGAAGAAAGGAAGAAAATAAGGCTGTACTTTCCTCAGCTTAAATAACCGACAATGTGTAAGACATAATTTTGCACTGTGTTCCCAGGTGCATAGGTAGAGGATGGGATTAAACAAACCTCTGAGGAATTTATGGATTATTGCAAGTTGCAAGTCACCTTTTCAGATTCATACACACATATTCACAGATGTTTGGATGCAAGGATCTTGGAGCTGAGGGTGAAATAATGAAATATTATTAATCAGAATTTCTCCTTACATTATTAAAAAATTAATGTAAACAGTAAAACTTCAGAGAAACTTAGCCATATGCTGGCAGGTCAATGATGAATGCAGCAAAATCTTAATGTGTGCATGTTATAGGAAAAGATGACATTAATTATACCAGATGGCTTAATTGATTCAAAATGATTCATATTCATATTGTAATATAAATTTATTTGGGGATTTCTTTATGAGAATGGGCATAAGAGACAGAAGGAATTTTTGTAAAAGAAGGTAATAGTAGCTGGAGGGGTGAGCACAGAGTATTTTTTGAGCACTGCTGAGGACCAAAGTGTAGGGTGAAGAATGCCTGCTTCATGTACATTTATGTGAATTCTGTATGGCTAGTTATATTGAAAGAGAAAAATGGGTTGTAAGAGCAACTCAGGATTGATGTATTCACAAGGTCAGAATGGTGGATGAAATTTTAGTGATGAACTTGTCTAAAGACGCAATGTATCAATACAGCAAAAGACTAGGTAAGGTTATATCTTACCTCAATATTTCATTTTACCTGAGGTGAGATGGCTTCATATCAATCAGTAGGCTTTTGCAGGGCATTTTTTTGTTTCTTTGTACACCCAGATTTCACGAACTTTTCAAATGGCTTAAAATTTTCTGCTTGTTTTTCTCCTCACTAGAAGTAAAACTCCACAAAGATAAGAACACAATTTCCTTGTAATTTACATTCCAAAAATCTACCAATATTCCTGGATAACAGCAAGCCCTGAAAGATATTTTTGTACTTAATAAACCAACATGGAAGTAGATTCTAAATATTGCCTTCAAATTCTTTCTCCTTTCCAAATTATCAGAGTTGTGCAGACAGCTTAGGTGTGCCCCCTTGCAGCTCCTTCTTTCCGAAATCATTTCCTATTTAGAGACTGTTTTGCCCACTTCTGGGCCTCCAGTAACCACTTTTCTCAACTATTCCTGTGCCTTGATGGGAAGGCCATGTGACCATCTCTGGATTTCAAAGGTGACTGGAAAGCCCAGTGGTACAGGAAAAATACCACATCTCATGGAGACACCCCAGTATCTAAGTCCAATTCAGACACCACCTATTGAATATTCTCTCCATACCCCATCCCTGGGAAAAGAAAAATTTTCACAGCACTGTCTGTGACAAATTTGTTCCAATTCCAAGGCACCGCACTCATTGTGTTTGTCCATGGCTCTCAGGATTTGTTCGTCTGGCTGGAGGAGGTGGACTCTGCTCAGGAGTGGTGGAAGTGAACTCTGGAGGAAACTGGACTCAAGTATCTGATGGGAACTTTATATTTGCTAATGCCCGGGTCATCTGTGCAGAGCTGGGGTGTGGCAAGGCTGCATCTGTCCTGGGGGATGTGGCCTTCAAAAGTGCCAATGGACAGGTCTGGGCTGAAGAATTCCAGTGTAGGGGTCAAGAGCAAAGGCTCTGGTTCTGCCCCCGAGTGCCATGTCCTGGAGGCAGCTGCCAACCCAGTGGGGCTGTTCACATTGTCTGTTCAGGTGAGACTCAGAGCAGGACTTGAACCTCCCAGCATGCTCTGTAGGAATAAGACAAATGACAGATGTTGCTGAAATCCTGTCTTCTGCAGAGTACGCTGAAGTCCGGCTCATGAATAATGGCACCTCTCGGTGTGAGGGTCAAGTGGAACTGAATACTTCTCAAGGCTGGAGAACACTCTGCGCCTCCCACTGGAACATGGCCAACGCCAATGTTGTTTGCCGTCAGCTTGGCTGTGGCATCGCCATCTCAACCCCAAAAGGAGCATACTATCTAGAAAGAGGTGAAGAGATCTGGAAGGACCGATTCCACTGCTCAGGGTCTGAGTCCTTCTTGTGGAGTTGCCCTGTGACTGCCTTAGGTGTTCCTGCCTGTGCCCCTGGAAACACAGCTTCTGTGGTCTGCTCAGGTAAGACAGCAGTCAGGATGCACCTTGTGTGATGTGTGTCTAAGAGGAGCCATTGCTGCAGAGTTTTCTTTTCTTTTTTTTTAATTGTTTTATTATTCATATGTGCATACAAGGCTTGGGTCATTTCTCCCCCCTGTCCCCATCCCCTCCCTTACCCCTCACTCTGCTCCCTCCCTCTCCCCCCCCACCCCCTCAATACCCAGCAGAAACTATTTTGCCCTTATTTCTAATTTTGTTGTAGAGAGAGTATAAGCAGTAATAGGAAGGAACAAGGGTTTTTGCTGGTTGAGATAAGGATAACTATTCAGGGAGTTGACTCACATTAATTTCCTGCTGCAGAGTTTTCTAGTGAATGACCACGTGACCATGGACTGATTCATTCCAGTGTTGGAGATTTGAGTTGTTTCCAGTTCTCGACCATTACAGATAATGATGCTACAAATTACCACAACAATGGATAAATTGCAAGCATTTGTATTTTTGGGGGTTTTAACAGTTGGCTGTTCATTTCCACTCTCTTAAGACAGTATGCTTTGAAGCATCAAATTTTTAGTCATAATGAAACACAAAAATTCAGCTTTTTTCCTGTACATTAGTGTTCTTATTTCCTTTTAGAGAGAACTTTGACTATTCTAAGATCACAAAAATATTCTCTAAGAGTGTCTCATAGAAGTTTAATTACTTTATTTCTACATATCATTGTACAAACATTCTGAGTTTGATACCATGTAAGGTCTGAGAATAGGTTTCATGTTATTGTTCAGATATATAACTGGATTCTGCATATTGAAGAAAACATTTGTCTTTTTCCAAAGTAGAAATTTAAAAGAAAACATTACCAGAATGAATCACAGAACACTAATCTTCCTTAACGTTTTCGTAATATGAATTGTTAATACCTGATTGGATATGGCTGGTGTTATGAGTAAACCTACAAACTGTAGTAACCACTGCTCTGCATTCTAGGTAATGTTTTCACTTCCACATGTAAATGAGAACAGGCAGTACTTTTTGTTCTCTGTCTGGCCTATTTTAATTAGCACTATGCCCTCCAGTCCCATCCATTTTGCTGCAAATGACAGAATTTCATTCTTCTTTGTAGCTGAATAAATCTTATTGGGAATATATACCACATTTTCTGTATGAATTCTGTTTATGAGCACTTGGATTGATCTCATCTAAGAAAGCCAAAATAAATATGGGAGTATAGCATTGCTTATTTGATGCTGAGTCTAAGTGTCCTGGTTACTATTACTGCATAATAAAACTTCCCCCAAAAAATACGTAACAGCAGAAAAATATGTTTCATTTTGGTCATGATTTCCTGGCTTAAGAATTTGGAAAGGGTTCAGTTAGAAGTTGTTTCTTAGGGTCTCTCATGAAGTTGTACTTGGATGTTGTCTGGGTCTGAGCCATTTGGTGACCTCACCAGGTTGAGCCTCCAAAACAGCTCATTCACACAGCTACAGATGGAAGACAGCTAGGGCTGCTAAGCAAACCATGCTCACCTGTGCCATCCGATATGATGATGTCAGCAGAGTAGACAGCATGTAATTCAAGGGAATGATGCACAATTTTACTGACCAGGCTCCCAAATAAAGTGGTGCTGGCTTCACGGCATTCTGTAGCTTACAAACAACTTGCCACAGTCAGTCCAGATTCAAGGAAGGTGTAATGGAACCCACCTGTCCTGCATGCTGTTCGAATATTGTGAATATATTTTAAAATCACAGATGTTTGAAATAGCTGTTTTGTGTATTTTCTATTTTCTACATTTAATACTACTAATTATGTCCTTATGTTTCTAAGACTTACAGGAATGTTAGGACTTCCTCACCCTGTCTCCTAGATCCCTTTTTATACTTCTGGGTTGTCTTTCTGTATTTACTCTGTGTGTTTTCTTCTATTCTTCCACTTTTCTATTTCTATCTTGTGCTGATGTACTTTTCTGTTAGACTCAAAATGTGAGTTTTTATATTCAGTTATTAATTCTTCAACTCCCAAATTGTTATTGGATTTTTGTTATCATTTCACTATCAAAATACACATCATGCAATCTAATTTTATGAACATTTTAATCATGGTTATTCATATACCTAGTTAAGTACCTCCAGTAGTTGGATGTTATATGAAAATCATTTTCTATCTTTTATTCACTCAACTTTTTTGTTTTATCAAACCACTTGTATATAGATTTTTTTTTGATTGATGGACATTGTATTTTTAAAAATCAGAGAAATCAGAAAGGGATTTTCTTTGCTTCTTTAGGGGAGCTTAGTTAAGAGTAGATAACATTATCTTTAAAAGAATTTAGGTGATTATGAAGTGGGCACCATCCCTGTGAAGAATCTGCTCTTAGTTCATTCTCTATATGTGGTTTAAGGCTACTCCTTATTTATCAGAGCTCCTCCTCCTTGGTTGACTGTGAGTTATACATAAGTTCCCCCAGACCTGTGACTCATAAACCCCTGTTGAGCTTTTCAGAGTCTCAGCTATGACCTTTGGATTTTTTTGTTTGCTCTTGTTTTTGTTTTTTTGGCTTAAGACAATTGGAATTTATTTTTCTGTAGTTCTAGAGGCCAGAAGTCTGAAATCAAAGTACTCATAGGGCCATGCTCTTTCTGGGGTTCTTAGAAAGAATCTTTCCTTGGTTCTTCTAACTCTGGTAGCTCCAGGCACTTCTCCAATCTTTGTCTCCATCTTCTCTTTCTTTTTTTTATTATTATTCATTTATTCACATGTGCATACATTGTTTGGGTAATTTCTCCACCCCTGCCCCCCTCTCCCATTCTCTCCCCCCTCCCCCCTCACTTCCAGGCAGAACCTGTTCTGCCCTTACCTGTAATTTTGTTGAAGAGAAGACATAAGCATAAGAAGGAAGACAAAGTGCTTTTGCTAGTCGAGTTAAGGATAGGTATACAGAAAGATTCCTAGCATTGCTTTCATGTACACACGTGTTACAACCCAAGTTGATTCATCTCTAATTGATCTTTACACTGTTTCCTGATCCCCTTCTCATGTTAATCTCTGTCGCTTTAAGGTTTCTGTATTATTTCCTCTGGAGTGGGGACATCAAACACTTTCATGTTTTGGGTTTTCTGCCTATCCCCATATTTCCTGTATGTGCTCTCCCCTTAGTATGTGATCCAAGTCCAACCATATTGCTGCATTTGCCCTAGATCTAAAGTCTGCATTTGAGGGAGAACATACGATTTTTGGTCTTCTGAGCCTGGCTAACCTCGCTCAGAATGATGTTATCCAATTCCATCCATTTCATTCTTCTTCATGGTTGAGTAAAATTCCATTGTGTACAAGTACCACGTTTTCTTGATTGATTCATCAGTAGTAGAAACATCTTGGCTGTTTCCATAACTTGGTTATTATGAATAGCGCTGCAATAAACATGGCTGTACAGGTGCCTCTGGAGTGACCTGTATTGTATTCTTTTGGGTATATCCCCAGGACTGGGATTGCTGGATCATATGGCAGATCTGTTTAGTTTTTTTAGAAGCCTCAATATTGTTTTCCAGAGTGGTTGCACCAGCTTGCATTCCCATCAGCAGTGTATGAGGGTTCCTTTTTCCCCACATCCTCACCAACACATGTTGTTGGTGGTGTTTTTGATAATGGCTATTCTAACAGAGGTGAGGTGGAATCTTAGTGTGGTTTTGATTTTCATTTCATTTATGCCCAGGGAGGTAAGCATTTTTTCATGTGTTTTTTGGCCATTTGAATTTCTTCTGAGAAAGTTCTATTTAGTTCAGTTGCCCATTTCTTAATTGGCTCATTGATTTTTAGGAGAGTTCAGTTTCTTAAGTTCCCTGTATATTCTGGTTATCAGTCCTTTGTCTGATGTCTAGCTAGCAAATATTTCTCCCACTCTGTGGGTGATCTTTTCAGTTTAGACACCATTCCTTTTGTTGTGCATAAGATTTTAATTTTATGAAGTCCCACTTGTCCATACTTTCTCTTAGTTGCTGGGCTGCTGGGGTCCTATTGAGGAAGTCCTTGCCTATACCTATTAGTTCCAGAGTGTTTCCTGCTCCTTCCTGTAGTAACTTCAGAGTTTCAGGTCTGATACTACAAAAGATGGAAAGATCTCCCATGCTCATGGATTGGTAGAATTAACTATACTAACAAAAGCAATCTACATGTTTAATGCAATTCCCATCAAAATCCCAATGACTTTCATCACAGAGATTGAAAAATCTACCCTAAAGTTCATTTGGAAACACAAGACACTGCGAATAGCCAAGGCAATACTCAGCAAAAAGAGCAATGCTGGAGGTACCACAATACCTGACTTCAAACTATATTACAAAGCAGTAACAAAAAAACAGCATGGTACTGACACAAAAACAGACATGAAGACCAGTGGAACAGAATGGAGGACACAGATATGACTCCACACAAGTATCCACCTCATTTTTTACAAAGGTGCCAAAAACATGCGATGGAGAAAAGACAGCCTCTTCAACAAATGTTGCTGGGAAAAGTGGTTACCCATCTGCAAGAAACTGAAACTAGATCCATGTCTATCACACTGTACTAGTATCAACTCAAAATGGATCAGCTGTGATCTTTGAATGGTAATCTGCCACCAGGGAAAATGGCACATCCTACTCCTTTACTTCTCTCTGAATTTGGCTCCAAAAACTTCTTATTGATCTGAGAGCTCTACAATTACTTCCAAAAATATTGATATATTTCCACATTCCTAAAGTTGTTCTTAGTGGCTGAATTGAAATCAAAAAGTTTAGCATAGTCAGAAGCAGAAAACTCAATACAGATTCTCTCTGAAGACAAGAAATTATAACTCCTGTGTTTCAATTTTCACCTCAGATGCATTTCAAGACTGTTTAATTTAATTTTGTTTGTCATACTTTAACCTTTTCCATAGGAAGCCAGACCCAACTGAGGCCCCAGTGCAATGACTCAGCTGGCTCTGCAGCCTCAGAGGGGAGTGCTTCCAACTGCTCAGGTGAGGAAGTACTCCAGTATTCAGACTTTCTCCTTCCCTGTGGACATGCCCACTGACCTGATCTTTCTCTCCTCAGACAGCAGAGAGCTGCGCCTGGTTGAAGCGGGTGGCCGCTGTGCAGGGAGAGTGGAGATCCTGCAACAGGGCTCCTGGGGCACCATTTGTGATGACAGCTGGGACCTGAGCGATGCCCACGTGGTCTGCAGACAGCTGGGCTGTGGAGTGGCCCTGCGTGCCTTGGGCTCTGCTCACTTTGGTGCTGGCTCAGGACCCATCTGGCTGGATGATGTGAACTGCACAGGAGTGGAATCCCACGTGTGGAAGTGCCCTTCTCAGGGCTGGGGGCAGCATGACTGCAGGCACAAGGAGGATGCAGGGGTCATCTGCTCAGGTCTTTATTGCTTTCTGTTCATAGGATGGAGTGGAGGAGGGAGGGCCTCAAGGATTGCATATGAACCCCAGGAATGGGGTTGAGGGTATTGCTGAAAGGACCAGGGTGAAGGAAATCCTCTCACAGTGCCTGCATTTGTAGTAGACAAGGAGATGAGCAGCTTCCATTTGCTCCTACAGCATCTGAAGTTCTGGTTCTTCCTTGTCAGCACTGTATTCTGACACAGTGATTTCCTATAGTTTCCATTTGAAAGCAGGGCTCACTCTTCACTTACCTGTGTGTACAAACTTCTAAGAATCACTATACTAGTTACCTATTGCTGCTGCAACAATATACATGGTATACCATGTTCAGTATACCAACAACACAAACTATGATTTATAGTAGCATAGGTTAGAACACTGACCTGGGACTAGCTGTGTTAAAATAAATAAATGGATTCTACATGGCTGCATTTCCCTGAGACTCTGGGAAGATTTATTTCCCTATCTTTTCCAGCTTCTAGAAACTGTCTGCATTCCATGACTTATGACCTCTTCTTCTTCTTTAAACAAAGAATGTTACAACTCTCTGACCATTTTTCCATGGTCTCATCTCCTTATGACCAGAGACAGAAAGCATATAGGTCTAAGGATGTGATTAGACTAGGCTCGCCTGGTTAATCCAGGACACTCTTACCAAGAAAATGTCCTTATCTTAATCCTGTCTGCAGCGCTCATTTGCCATGTGAATTAGCATATTCATAGGCTCCAGGATCAAAGAACATATCTAAGGTCCCATGAGTCTATCTGGCACCCATTGTTCATACTCCCTTTTACAGGGTCTGTCACATGGTCAGTCAGTAACCAGAATTTAGCATGTCTTCCCTGCAGAGCACAAGGTCCAAGAACTGCATATTCACTCCACACTACATCATCAAGGTAGAAACATAAAGACTGAAGAAAAGCCATAAGGGATAGAATTTTCATTCCTTCCACATAGTGGCAATTCTTTGGCACAGTCAGCTATAAGCATTCACCCTGAAGAATAAAGAAACACCAGGGTATTAATATCTAAATGCTCACTCTGCCCTGTTTTCTCCTCTTGGTTTCAGAGTTCTTGGCCTTAAGGATGGTGAGCGAGGACCAGGAGTGTGCTGGGTGGCTGGAGATTTTCTACAACCAGACCTGGGGCAGTGTCTGCCGCACCCCCATGGATGTCACAACCTTGTCTGTGATCTGCAGACAGCTTGGTTGTGGGGAAAGTGGGAGTGTCAACTTTTCTGTTGTTCCCAGGGATGGTTCTAGACCCCAATGGGTCGATGGAATACAGTGTCGAAAAACTGATACCTCCTTCTGGCAATGTCCTTCTGAGCCTTGGAAACACAGATCTTGCTCTTCAAGGGATGAAGCTTATGTTATGTGTGCAGGTGACCTACTCTCTATTTCTGTGTGTCTGTCTTGTCTCTGTGGGTTAATGTTAGGGAAATTTTGTATTTTCAAATCTGAGAGATGAGTGAAAAGAAGTCTAAAAGTGAATTTGGGATAGAGAGTATTTAATCTACATGTCTCATGTTATGTCAAAGGCAAAAGTAAAGAATCCTATGAGATACCAATTTATGCGAAAATACCAGGGAGACTGAAATGAGCATGTGGAGGGCATGAAATAATGCTCTGATAAACTTTCCAACCAATGGTCTGATGCAGTTGTAGGTTACGTTAATTGATCTTCATTTCCACAGTCAATAGGGTAAGGGATCAGGCAAGTCATATAAATCATTTGCTGTGTACTATCATTCTTTTGACTTTTCCATGTTTAACCTCATGAAATTTAACTTCACGACAAATATTTGGAAGATTTTATGGTGATCACTTAATTTGGTTTTGAAAAGTGATGTTAGGTCAGGAATAATCACTTCATAAGTTCAACATTGTCAAGTAAGTGAGGAGCAGTTTGGGGACTCTAATTGCTCTGTCCCTTGAGCTCATAGTCTTTTACTCTAAAAAGTGTCTTCACCTCTTAGATGGAAAGAAGTTATTTCATCCCACTTCTACCAATCTATAGACCATTGATTCTCTTTTTTTTTTTTTTTTTGGTTTATTTATCATCTATGTTTGTTTAATAACCAAACAGCATTTACATTTATTCTGGTACTTTCTTTTTTTTTTTTCTTTTATTATTCATATGTGCATACAAGGCTTGGTTCATTTCTCCCCCCTGCCCCCACCCCCTCCCTTACCACCCACTCCACCCCCTCCTGCTCCCCCCCCCAATACCCAGCAGAAACTATTTTCCCCTTATTTTCTAATTTTGTTGTAGAGACAGTATAAGCATTAATAGGAAGGAACAAGGGGTTTTGCTGGTTGAGATAAGGATAGCTATACAGGGCATTGACTCACACTGATTTCCTGTGCATGGGTGTTACCTTCTAGGTTAATTCTTTTTGATCTAACCTTTTCTCTAGTACCTGTTCCCCTTTTCCTATTGGCCTCAGTTGCTTATAAGGTATCTGCTTTAGTTTCTCTGCATTAAGGGCAACAAATGCTAGCTAGTTTTTTAGGTGTCTTACCTATCCTCACCCCTCCCTTGTGTGCTCTCGCTTTTATCATGTGCTCATAGTCCAATCCCCTTGTTGTGTTTGCCCTTGATCTAATGTCCACATATGAGGGAGAACATACGATTTTTGGTCTTTTGGGCCAGGCTAACCTCACTCAGAATGATGTTCTCCAATTCCATCCATTTACCAGCGAATGATAACATTTCGTTCTTCTTCATGGCTGCATAAAATTCCATTGTGTATAGATACCACATTTTCTTAATCCATTCGTCAGTGCTGGGGCATCTTGGCTGTTTCCATAACTTGGCTATTGTGAATAGTGCCGCAATAAACATGGATGTGCAGGTGCCTCTGGAGTAACAGTCTTTTGGTATATCCCCAAGAGTGGTATTGCTGGATCAAATGGTAGATCGATGTCCAGCTTTTTAAGTAGCCTCCAAATTTTTTTCCAGAGTGGTTGTACTAGTCTACATTCCCACCAACAGTGTAAGAGGGTTCCTTTTTCCCCGCATCCTCGCCAACACCTGTTGTTGGTGGTGTTGCTGATGATGGCTATTCTAACAGGGGTGAGGTGGAATCTTAGTGTGGTTTTAATTTGCATTTCCTTTATTGCTAGAGATGGTGAGCATTTTTTCATGTGTTTTCTGGCCATTTGAATTTCTTCTTTTGAGAAAGTTCTGTTTAGTTCACATGCCCATTTCTTTATTGGTTCATTAGTTTTGGGAGAATTTAGTTTTTTAAGTTCCCTGTATATTCTGGTTATCAGTCCTTTGTCTGATGTATAATTGGCAAATATTTTCTCCCACTCTGTGGGTGTTCTCTTCAGTTTAGAGACCATTTCTTTTGATGAACAGAAGCTTTTTAGTTTTATGAGGTCCCATTTATCTATGCTATCTCTTAGTTGCTGTGCTGCTGGGGTTTCATTGAGAAAGTTCTTACCTATACCTACTAACTCCAGAGTATTTCCTACTCTTTCTTGTATCAACTTAAGAGTTTGGGGTCTGATATTAAGATCCTTGATCCATTTTGAGTTAATCTTGGTATAGGGTGATATACATGGATCTAGTTTCAGTTTTTTGCAGACTGCTAACCAGTTTTCCCAGCAGTTTTTGTTGAAGAGGCTGCTATTTCTCCATCGTATATTTTTAGCTCCTTTGTCAAAGATAAGTTGCTATAGTTGTGTGGCTTCATATCTGGATCCTCTATTCTGTTCCACTGGTCTTCATGTCTGTTTTTGTGCCAGTACCATGCTGTTTTTATTGTTATTGCTTTGTAATATAGTTTGAAGTCAGGTATTGTGATACCTCCTGCATTGTTCTTTTGACTGAGTATTGCCTTGGCTATTCGTGGCCTCTTGTGTTTCCATATAAATTTCACAGTAGATTTTTCAATCTCTTTAATGAATGTCATTGGAATTTTGATGGGAATTGCATTAAACATGTAGATTACTTTGGGAGTATCGACATTTTTACTATGTTGATTCTACCAATCCATGAGCATGGGAGATCTCTCCACTTTCTATAGTCTTCCTCAATCTCTTTCTTCAGAAGTGTATAGTTTTCCTTGTAGAGGTCTTTCACATCTTTTGTTAGGTTTACACCTAGGTATTTGATTTTTTTTGAGGCTATTGTAAATGGAATTGTTTTCATACATTCTTTTTCCGTTTGCTCATTGTTAGTGTATAGAAATGCTAATGATTTTTCTATGTTGATTTTATATCCTGCTACCTTGCTATAGCTATTGATGATGTCTAGAAGCTTCTGAGTAGAGTTTTTTGGGTCTTTAAGGTATAGGATCATGTCGTCTGCAAATAGGGATATTTTGACAGTTTCTTTACCTATTTGTATTCCTTTTATTCCTTCTTCTTGCCTAATTGCTCTGGCTAGGAATTCCAGTACTATGTTGAATAGGAGTGGAGATAGTGGGCATCCTTGTCTGGTTCCTGATTTTAGAGGGAATGGTTTTAATTTTTCTCCGTTAAGTATAATGCTGGCTGTAGGTTTGTCATATATAGCTTTTATAATGTTGAGGACTTTCCTTCTATTCCTAGTTTTCTTAGAGCTTTTATCATGAAATGATGTTGGATCTTATCAAAGGCTTTTTCTGCATCTATTGAGATGATCAAGTGGTTTTTGTCTTTGCTTCTGTTAATGTGGTTTATTACGTTTATTGATTTTCGTATGTTGAACCACCCCTGCATCCCTGGGATGAAGCCTACTGGTCGTGGTGAATAATCTTTTTGATGTGTTGCTTGAATTCGTTTGCCATTATTTTGTTGAGGATTTTTGCATCAATGTTCATTAAGGAGATTGGCCTATAGTTCTCCTTTTTGGAGGTGTCTTTGCCTGGTTTTGGGATAAGTGTAATACTGGCTTCATAAAATGTGTTTGGCAGTTTTCCTTCCCTTTCTATTTCATGGAACAGTTTAAGGAGGGTTGGTATCAGTTCTTTTAAAGGTCTGATAGAATTCAGCAGAGAATCCATCAGGTCCTGGACTTTTCTTTTTGGGGAGACTCTTGATTGCTGCTTCAATTTCATTTTGTGTTATAGGTCTATTCAGGTGATTAATTTCCTCTTGGTTCAGTTTTGGATGATCATATGTATCTAGAAATCTGTCCATTTCTTTTAGATTTTCAAATTTATTTGAATATAGGTTCTCAAAGTAGTCTCTGATGATTTCCTGGACTTCCATGGTGTTTGTTGTTATCTCCCCTTTTGCATTCCTGATTCTACTAATTTGGGTTTTTTCTCTCCTCATTTTAGTCAGTTTGCCAGGGGTCTATTCGATCTTGTTTATTTTTTCAAAGAACCAACTTTTTGTTTCATTAATTCTTTGTATGGTTTTTTTGGTTTCTATTTCGTTGATTTCAGCTCTTATTTTTATTATTTCTCTCCTTCTATTTGTTTTGGGATTTGCTTGTTCTTGTTTTTCTAGGAGTTTGAGATGTATCATTAGGTCATTGATTTGGGATCTTTCAATCTTTTTAATATATGCACTCATGGCTATAAACTTTCCTCTCAAGACTGCCTTAGCTGTGTCCCATAGGTTCCGGGTAGGTTGTGTTTTCATTTTCATTGACTTCCAGGAACATTTTAATTTCCTCTTTTATTGCATCGATGATCCATTCTTCATTAAGTAATGAGTTATTTAGTTTCCAGCTGTTTGCATGTTTTTTGTCTTTACTTTTGTTGTTGAGTTCTACTTTTACTGCATTGTTAGACCATTGATTCTTAATAAATGTCCACTTCCACATCTTAAGTTCAGTGTCCCAATTTCTGACCATTGCCTTTTAGGATTATGGCTCATAGCCTACACTGTTCCTTTTCTAATAATTGTTCATCCACATCGAGATGCTCTTTCTCTTTCTCAGTTTCACGTTCTCCATTGTCTTCACATTTTTAAACCACATTAAATACCATGATCCCACATTACAACTAATCTCCTTTGCGTACATTCAACCCTTCGTTGTCCTCTTTGCTAGTCTCACCTGGATAACATAAGGATGGTTGTAGTGAACCACTCATTGCTTGTACTACACTAATGAAAAAGGCTGAAAATAATACACAATAAGGTCTCTGAAGTTTTTTAATCCATAGGCAAAAAATCTCTCTCCACACTGTTCACAACTTCTTGTCTGTTCTGTGTCATATATAATTACCTTATCTCTAAAATGTTACTATACATTTTCTTTACTGTTCCTCCACTGATATGTCACCCACCACCCTCTTGTGAATGATGATTTTGCATCAAAACTCACTGGAAAAGATAAACAGTTAATTGTGATTTCATCTTCTTTCTTCAAATATAGCTCCACTGTTCACCTGAGTGCACACTCTTTGCTTGGCCCTCTTGACAGAGACTTAGTCCTTGTCTTTAGCTAGTTCTTTTTATTGGCCTACAGATCTGAATCCTACTCACCTCATTGCAGTCTCCACTGGGTAAATTGTGCCCTCTTGCTCTGCACCACCAACATCTGCCTCTCTCCTAGTTCACTCCTGTCAATGTATGTACGGTGTCCAGTGCCAGACAAGTTTAAAAGCATTTGAACAGATGAGCATTCTTCTTCAAACCCAATTTCCTCTCTAATTCCTGCCACATTCCTGAACTCTCTCCTCTACAGTTAAGTCTGTTACAGGTACTGTCCATAGTCACTGTCTCCATCTTGTGACTCTCCTACTGTACTAAAATCATTTTGATTAAGTTTTATACCCCATCACTTCTCAGAATTGCTTTTTAAAAACAAAATGAAATCTAGAAATCTCTCTGGTCTTCAATATATTACTTTGACCTCTCAGCTGCATTCAACACAGTTGGCTTCTGTTTCTCAAAATTACAATTTTTACATTTCGTTTTTATTGCTTCTACACTCACTCTACCTCACTAAATTCTTATTCTCTATATGTCACAACTCCTCAGCTCAGCCTATAGATTATAGACACCCTAAGGTTACATATCAGAGTTTATACTGTTCCTTAGATATACTCCCACCCTAAGATTTGTGGCTTCAATGACATATACATACCAACAATTTCCCAAATATATACCCTCCACCTTACCTCTTCTGTAGCTCCAAATTCATGTATTCAAGATGTACTTAACATCTACATTTGTTTATCTAATGGGCAACTCCAATTTGGCTCTCCTTCAAAATGGTCACAACACATTCAGTCCCTGCTCCTAGCTTCCCTTGTGTTAAATTCTTCACACCAGTTAATATCACTATCATTAACTTAAGATCAATACACAGTCATTAACTTCATTTCTCCATTTCCCTATGCCTGCTCTTCCCATATAATAGCAAAGCTCTGCTGTCTCTGTCTCCACATGTATCCTAATCCTCCTCCCTCCATCTCACTTCATCTTAATTTAGGAAAGATCACCTGTTGCCTAGATTGTTCCAACTACCTCTAGTGGTCACTTAATTTCATCCTTCTCCTCTACAATATATTCTCTCCCTGGCAGCAAGAATACTTTAAAAATCAGTATGTTTTCCTGGCCTATAACACCTCCAGTAGTTTAAGTGAACTAAGATAAAACAGAGAATTCATATCTTGTTGACAAGGCCTTACATTGGTTGTCCCCTTCCCATTCCTCACTTCTCATCTCCTGGTTCTCTTCTGCTCATTTTCTCCATGAATTGTCTGTCTTTCTGTACATGAGGAGAAGAACAGTATTCTTTACTGTCATAATTCTTTGTTGAGGGACCATCTAGTATATTTTCTTCTTTGGGTCTTTGCCCACACTGTTTTCTTAGCTGGATATTCTGGGAATAAGCAAGAAAGTTGGAATAATAAAGTGTCCTTAAATCTATTGACACTATCTACTGAACTGTAAAGTGTCTATTATATTTAGGTAACTTTATGTCTTGGAATGTCCTAATGAGAACACTTTTAAGAATAGAGTGTTTTGATGGTGTCTAAAAAGAAGTAAAGAAAAAGGAATAGATGAAAATTATACACAATCTTTTTGAGATACTGACTCAGAAAACTGAGAGTGGAAAATAAGTGCTGGTATTAAATTTGACGCTGCAAATATATTTACTTTACTTGACAAGTTGATCAATGTGGGGGTGGGTGCATTTAGAAGTGACATTGGCACATATCGATGTGTGTCTCAGGTGCAAAATCAACTTGACACCATGACAAAATGAATCTGTAATTCATCTAGTTAGCAGATATGCTGAGGAAGATATAACCAGATGCTGTCCTTCCCCATCAGGGACTTTACCAGGGAAGTAAAAAAGAGTCTCTCCATGAGCTGCTCCAGGGAACAGTTCTGACAGATGGACAGAGGTTACATGAGAGCATATTTGAATTCACTCTATGTAAAGGAACTTCTCACATATGAGATCCCTTGAGTGATGTTATCTATCTGATAAAGGAATTCTGGAGGCATGAAGGGTTGACTGCCCACCTTCCCTTACATCCCTCCACTTTCCCTGTCTCATACTTGAATCACCTGTACTTGTTATTGCTAGGTTTTATATTTGCTTGCCATTAGGAGAATTATATTCTTCCCACAAATTTGCTTTAGGCTTAGACAATTTCCTTTATATTTCACTTAAGTTTTTAAAACATTATTTTCTCATTGTGAGTGAAAAGCTGTATAAAAATTCAAACACATAAATAAGTCACTAATGTACCCTCCCATCCAACCTTTACCTCATTCATATTCTACTGACATAAATAGGATTAACACAATGGAAGAACCATTTTTACCAAATCCTCCATTTTCTTAGAAACATGTCTAAGCTCAGATTCCCATTAAAAGATTGATTCTGATAGTATCTTTTTATGTGTTTTACAACTTTTGAATTATATCATGCATATTGTTAAATTGCTTTCCTATTTTTTCAATACATCACAGATAATAGGTGAACCCAAGTCATTTGTAAAACAATGGTCTAATATTGCATTCAAAAAAGATTAGCACTTTAGTTTATGTAAGCATTTCCCTATTTATTTCATAACTGTTTTCAATTGCTCCTGGGTTAATATCTTTTGAAGCATGAAGTAAATGAGAACTGAAAATTGCCCATCATATTTCATACCTTCCTTCCATTAATCTTTTGCATTTTTACAGTGTTTCTGCTTATTTCTAATTTCTTTTTCTTCCTCTTGATTTCTCTCTCTCTCTCTCTTCTCTCTTGCCCTCCTTGTTCTCTTATACAGACACACACAAACACCTCTCATGCAATTTTAACTTAAATTATGGTAGGAATTGTATGAAATCCACTATTGTAGAAAATGTGAAAATAAATATTTCAGGAAAGAAGCTTACTCTCTTCCTTGACTTTCTTTCCTCATCTTTTCCCCCTTCTCCTTACAGAGGATGAAAAGATATTAAATTATTAGACCACATAATAATGTTTTATGTAGTAAAATACTAAGAATTATTTGGTTTTTTATTATCATATTATTGTTATATGGGGGCTACATTGTGACATTTGCAAAAGTTCCTACAATTTATCATACTTGAATTGACTCCTCCATCATTCTCCTTTACCCCTTTTTCAAGTCTCTGAATTGTGACACCACAAGTGTCCAATCCTGAAAGTGAGCAAGCATCAAACAGAGGCAAAAGATGTTCTCTGCATAGGATAGGTGGTTTGATAGATAGTATGTAAAATATTCACCATTTCTGGTATTTTATGACAAGTACTATGCATTCTTTCTCAGTATTGTTTTGCACATATGTGAACCTCTTTTGTTTTCAATTCTTTCATGTGTTTTTTTTAAGTTCTATGTTATCTCTGTGTCCTCTTGCATATTATTTTTTCCTGAGTATATTTATCTGAGTTTTATGCAGACATTTCTGCCTTATCAGGTACCCATGGTCCATTTATCAACAGTTCCCTGTATCCTATTTGTGCTATTTCTTTGATAGAATACAAATTTTGCCATTCTTTCAAACTGTTCTTTAATTTTATATTTAAATGCTGTGAAATTGTGAAAACTAATTACTTGTGATGATTAAATATGTGGTATGCCTGATTTTATTACCACACATCATTGTTATTAATTTATATTTTCTTACTGATTAGAAATTTTTAAAGGAATTATCTTTCAGCAGGTTTTGCTCATCCATTCATTCAATAAATACTGATCAAGCCCCTGTATACAGTATTTCTAGAAGGTTGTCCACATATACTTGATATGCCAGGCACTGTCCACACAGCAGTAACACAGGGAATGAGATAGGCAAGGACATTCCTCTAGTGAGGCTTCCATTAAGTTTGTGTGTGTGTGTGTGTGTTGTGTGTGTGTGTGTGTGTGTGTGTGTACATGTGTGCCCACCCATGTATGTGCTTATTGTGGGAATGTGGCAAGTGATAACACTAGTAAACTGATTAAATAATTTCAGTGCTGACAAAGGACATGCTCTAGTGAATGTCTCAACTCCAGTCAGTTAGACTAATTCTGAAGCTTGTTCTCTCACCTATCATCTGGACTGGGCCCAGGACCACTACCAGCCTGGTCTGTAGCAGGACGCCCACCCTGACCCAGTGTTTCCCCATTGTCTACTACTGCAGATATGAGACCAAAGAGCTGTCCAGCCACTGCCTCCTGCACAGGTACCTCAGCACTCCCACCGCCCCCTTGAGTCCCTGGGGCTCCTTCCCTCGCACCTATGTGGTAAGAGGAGGTATTGCTGCCTTTCAGACAGAGAGAAGCTCCGCCTCAGAGGAGGAGACAGCGAGTGCACAGGACGAGTGGAGGTTTGGCATGAAGGCACCTGGGGCACAGTGTGTGATGACACCTGGAGCCTGGCAGAGGCAGCGGTGGTGTGTCGGCAGCTGGGCTGTGGATCTGCCTTGGAGGCCCTCAGGGAGGCAGCGTTTGGCCCTGGAAATGGAAGCATCTGGCTGGATGAGGTGCGGTGCAGAGGAAGTGAATCATCCCTATGGGACTGTGCAGCAGCACCCTGGAGACAGAGCAACTGCAAGCATGAGGAAGATGCAGGCGTGAGATGCTCAGGTGAGTGGCAGGGCCAAGAGAGTGGAACAGAGGGAGTGTATATGTTTGTCGCTAAAGCAACGCCCAGCCAACCTGTGGCCCTGTGCTCTGGCTCCAGAAGGCTGTGCTCATATCTCCTGGTCTCTAAGAGAGGAACATGTGCCCTTGATGGTAGGAGTGTCCTAGGGACTTTTCAGGCCAACCTACCACAGTGACCCATTTTCCTTCTTTTCTTTCCAGGTGGAAGGACAACAGCTCGCCCCATGCCTAGGAGTAAGTGGTTCTTCTGCTCTGAGCCATGAACAGCCATGCCATTGAGGAGAAGCTCAGGTTTCCAGCGAACTGCACTAGAGAATCCTCACATTTCTGTCACAATTACATTAGTCGTATTGATCAGGTGATACAAGCAGAAATAGGTTTTTCAAGTTATAGAAATAACAGGATTCCAAAAGCTCCCCAGCATGTGCCTTAGAGACATATCTTAGAACCAGACTGAGAAGACTGCTGACACAGCTTAGGGCGGGACAAGGGGTATAACATCTTGGTGTTCAGGCAGACCCACTGTATCTGATCTAGTCACTTCATGGTCCTGACGACTCAGGATATGACCAGGATAATTGGGTTCTTCTGATGACCCTACCTAAACACTAATGGCCCTTTGTCCTCCCCAGGCACCAAGTCAGTCCTAGCCCCTGTACCTGGCATCTTCTCCATACCTGGAATCCTCTGCGTCATCTTGGGAGCACTTCTTCTCCTGGTCCTTGTCATCATGGGGATTCAGATGCACAGTTGGAGAGCCCAGCTCCAAGGTCATACTTAGGGATGTCAGTGACCTGGAAAGGGTGTGGGGCAAGGACCAGATCAATCTCGATTTTTTTAAAGCACTTTGTATTCCCATTATTTGGAAACTTGCATCACTGATAAGACTTCAGGATTTTAAAGACTTAAAGCTGTGGTCGTTGGTTGAATGTGGAAGCTTTCAAATATCATGGTTTCTTATTTAGACAGTGTCAGCGGAGACTGAGTATAGGATCCAGACACAGTCAGAAAACCAAGTTCTGTCCCAAGAAGCAGAGAGCTAAAGAAGGGGCCATGATAGTCAACAAGGGTTTCTCCATGGGAACACAGAAGGTTTTGACTGTTGTTAAGGAAACACTTCAGGATCAGTCTCTGAACTCATGCTGTTTTCCCCAGCCTTACATAGTTTTGAAGATGCTGCTGCTGAGGCCTTGTACCAGGAGATAGATTACCTCATGAAATCAGAGGAGAACATATTAGATAGCCCAGGTATGTTCTATACCCTCATTTCTGTTCATGACCTGCTATTGGGAATTTGTATTTTCAGCAAACACAGACTCTCAATACTAACAAAATCTCCCATGATATATTTTTCAGCTCTCCATTACTGTGGCAAAATGCCTGATAGAATCAACTTAAAAGGAAATTTTGTCTTGGCTCACAGTTTCACAGAGTTCTGTCCATGGTCACATGATCTCATTGCTTTTGGTACTGCAGCAAGTCAGCACAAATGGAGAGCACATGGTAGAGCAGATGTTCACCTCATGGTGAACAAGGAAGGAAAAGAGAGAGAAAAAGACTGTTGTCACATAATCCTCTCAGAAGGCATGCCCCCAGTGATCTAAGTCCTCCCACCTGCTCCACTTCTTTTTTTTTCTTTATTCATTTATTCATATGTGCATACAATGTTTGGACCATTTCTCCTCCTTGCCTCCCCACCACCTCCCTCTTCCCCCAACCCCCTGGCATCCAGGCCTTTTCTCCAATTTTGTTGAAGCACAGGCATAAACAATAGTAAGAAAGACATAGCATTTTTGCTAGTTGAGATAAGGATAGCTATACAGAGAGATTCCTAGCATTGCTTCCACCTTCTCCCACTTCTGACAGTTTCTAACAACTTCCAAGCTTTTAACCAAGCCTTCAACACTTGGGCATTTGGGAGGGGGCATACATATGATAACTAAAGAAAAGCACATGGTCAGCCTCCTCCTAAACAGGAGCTCCAAGCCCTCTCTCTACAAGTCTGAAGCTTCAAGATATCTTCTGAACCATAACACTGAGCCTCCTTATATGTACTTGTCTGTGATGATTGTCTCCCTACTAGAAACCTGTCTGATGACTCAGTGACTAAACTTCCCTCTTACATAGGGAATTCTGAGGAGAAGGTAGACCCTGAATCTGCTCCAAATAGGAAATATAGGTCTTCCTTTTTATAGTGGGGGTGAAGAGGCAGAATCTCATTTAAGCAGACTCATGTCAGGTGGCTAGGATAAAAAAGGGTCTATTTACTTCAGTTCGAGATAGTTTTCCTCTCTGCGCATTTTTGTGACCTCAGAAAGAGAAAGGTCAGGCTCAATTCTGTCATTTCCTGCTCAATTCTGTCAGCTTTACTGCCTTATAAACATATATTAAATGTGTTATGATGCATTCAAAGGCTATATTTGTTTAAAGCAACATGAGAAAGTGATCATCTCTAAAATACTATGGTGCAAGAGAACAAAATTGGGTTCATTGAGTTTTGACCTGAGAATAATACATGAATCATTCCTAGAGCGTGTGAATATAGACAGAAAAAAAATTGACTTTGGTAATCCTTTGAATACATAAGTGCAAAGTGCCCATACCTTCAATTATTAGAAACCCTTCTTACAAGAGATATAAGAGAGGAAAATGTTGGCCCTAGCTTGGGGAACCAAGTGGTAAAGGTGAACAGCAATTGAAAGGAAACATGACCAAGAGAACTCTGCGGAGATGGTATCATAAGGTCAACAGAGCATTAGAAGGGTTTTGAAGCCCAGGCTCCTGTGATTGGGATTGGTGTGATCCCCAGTCTGCAGGTAAGAAAAACACAGGCTTCACTCTCTCTGACAGCTCAATGTCCCAACTACCTCAAGGCACCGGAACAGTCCGGGTTCTCTTGGTCCACATTCAGTCTCCCTCAGTCACTAATAGGTAGTATATTTAAACTCTATACCATAAGCCTTAAAATTGTGCCCAAAATCATAGAATAATAAATGGTGATATTATATTGTATGAGAGGATATTTTAGTAAAATACTATTTACCTTAATATACTGACTACTTATAGATTTATGCAATTTTAAGAATATGAAGATCAAATACATGCCTTTGGGAAACCACTGGAATATGGTGCCTGTATTTATCAGCTATTAGAATCTCTGCATTAGAAGAGGCATAAGACATCACCTAGTTAAATCCATATTTTATCCTTTCAACTTCTTCCTTGTCTGGTTTCAGAACCTCCAGGGCAGCATGTTGATGCTACAGGAAATGGTTATGATGATGTTGAAGAGTTACCTGCTCTTGAAATGTCTACTTTCCCTGGAATGAGTGAGAAGTACCTTTCCTCAGAAGAGGGAAGTGGTGACAGGTATTCTCAGACAGGTGTGTAGACAGCTCTGTCTCTAATAGTCTTACTTCCTCATCATGGGAAGGATGAGTTTGGACCCATCAATCATTAATTTTTTTTCACTAAGTAGCCTTATGTACCTAGATGATATCAGCTCTTTCCTGTCCATGCTTTATTGTACCTATTCCACCTCTTGCTTAGGATGAAACTTACTGTGTTCTCTGTGTCCGTGCCCACCACCAATTCAGTGTAGACCTGCTGGTATGAGCTGAAGAGTCTTTATGGCTTCGATACTATTTTTAAAACTCAAATAATTCAAAACATGCAGTCTGACAGTAAATATGGGGGATCTTTCCAATTGTGAAAATTAATCTGAAAAACTTTTAGTTAATAAGGTAAATTAAACCTATGAACTGTCAAGGTTTTTGTTTTAGGAATGTAACCAAGTGTTTGAATTTGACACTAACCACAATTAATGAAAATGTGGAATGCTCTTAATTAGAGACATTAAATTTCATCCCTAGAAGGAAGAGATAATACTTTCTTATTGCTTCAATTGACATAAGATATCATTTCCTGAGGGTATGTATTGTACTGAAGTATAGCCATGTGGTCCACAGGGAGAAGGAAACTGTGGGATTTGATTGAGCTGTACTGCTTTGTCATCTGACAGAGGACTCACATCGTTCTCTTTAATTCTTTGAGGTCAAGTGTGGTATGTTATTCAGATACTGAGTAATCAAGAGAGGTCCTCTCCTGCCTCCAGTTCTTAAGGAATTTGACCATCCTGGTGTGGAAGAGAGAACTCATGTCTGTTTCCTGTTGTAGAGATCAAGACAAGACTGCACAGAGTAGTCACTAGGAGGTAGCTCTACCTAGCCTTTCAGACAAACTCTGGGCTCCCACACCTATTTGATACCACTCTGTACTAGGCTTTCCTTCTACAAGAGGACCCTGGTATAGCTTTTTTAGTTTGTTTATGTGTCTGTCACCACTGAAACCACAATTCTCTTTATCATTTCAGCCATCTCTCTTCAGTCTCCTAGAGAAGCTGGCCACTGTAGCATGGGAGAGAAAGAATTCACGTTGATCCTAAGATCCGAAGACCCTCAATACGATGATATTGAGCTTGATGCCATGTAGTGTCATTTTTAGAGCAAGCAAGTCTGCAAAGAACTCTCCTGTGGCAGTTGTTTTCCAAGTAAATGAGAATTCTGTCTTCCTCATTACTGAGGAAGACAATTTTTACTTGTACCTCTGATGAAAGGAAATTATTGATAATAAATACTCTAAGCTTTCACTGACCAGTGCTGTTCTCTTAAAAATCTAGGTATATTCACCCCAATGACTTTGGAAAATTCATCTCCAAACATACCCCTTTCCATATAATCCTTTTCCTTATAAACTATCTATGTGATCTGAGTTATCACTAGCCTCGACTACCCCATTGCCTTCCAGTAGGTACAGAGAAAGTCATGATGGTCATGAATAGCATAAAACTCTGGAATGCAGTCCTGAGCTAAGTGCTTTCTCTCAGGAAGATGGATGTGTGAACACTTAACTAAATGTTCCAAAATGTTCCCTCATCCTTTACTAGAAGTGTGTTTCAAAGTAATGGGACAGTATTGTTTGAGGAAAGACAAGGTGGGGATCTGATGATCCAACAGAAACTTCTGGTGTCCAAAGAATCTTTATGAGAATCCTGATTGGTGAGAAGGGCCATCTGGTCTTCCAGATTGCACAGTAGGTGGGCTGTAGGAGCCCATGGAAGTTCACATCTACCTTTCTGTGAAACTCCTCAAGTGATCACCCTTCATTGCCACTTTCAGATCATCTCATCTCAAGTTGCTGGCAGTAGTCACTGACTATATGGCCTCTGCCTAGGAGGCCTGCAGGGCCTGGATAGGGGCATGGACACTGACCAACTGCTAGCCTTCCTGGCTAGTCTGCACAGTCCCTGCCTAGCCTATGTCCTTTAGAGGAAACAACTTGCCTTAGCTCATCTCCTGGGTAGTTCTTTCGTCTGGAACCACAACATTGGTCTCAGAAATTAGCCCCATGGTAGGAGCACAATACCCTTCTGCTCCAGCTGACATTGGGCCTAACATATTGCCAGGAGTTGCCAGTTGTGAGCTGGGAAGAGACTTTTCTCTTCTTCCTCCAATTCTACCACGTGGAAGCCATGTAAGGACCTATGTTTCTTTCTGGTTTTCTTTTATTTTATAGTGAAAATGATAGTAAAGTTTATGAGGAAAGGAATATACTTTCAATCAACTGAAAGCTGGTCATCTCTAGAGTGAGAACAAGAACAAACAGATCCATGTTTTGTTTTCTTGGGTTTTTTTTCCATTTGGTGGGATTGGGGTTTGAACTCAGGACTTTGTGCCTTCAGAGCAGATACTTTACCCCTTAAGTCACATTTCCAGTCCATTTTTGCTCTGGTTATTTGGAGATGAGGGCTCAAGAACTATTTACCTGGGGTGGCCACAAACTGTAGCTAGCCTCCCATGTAGCTAGGATTATAGGCGTGAGCTACCAGCACCCAACCCAGACTTATTTCTCAAGTAAGATACTGCCACCCACCTGCTCTCACAAGTCCTTGATCCCTCTCATCCCATCACACCACCAGTCTCAAATACTAATAAAGTTATAATGCAAGTAAATAAAACCAAATTATACACTACTGTCAATAATATCCAGGAAATAATGAAATTCTTTCAAAAAGTCATATACTGTAGGTGTATTTTTCAAAATCTTTCCATGTACTACCTTAACTCAAAATTTGGAACACATTTAGTTATGTTAGAAAGTTCAAAACTCTTTACTTAGAGTATAAAGTCTCCACACTTTGGACTTACATTTCTTCTTCAACCTCAGTAGCTATTTTCTTACAGTCACATTAGGAAAAAGCCTTAACAAACTATGAGACATTCAATGAACACCTCAAATAATTTTGCCATTCTATATTTTATATGTTTCTTTTCTCTGGAATAACCCTCTTTACTCTCTGGACATTACTTACCTTTGTCCCTCACTTATCTCAATTTTAGTTTTGTTTTTTTATTTTGTTTTGTTTTGCTCACAGCACTTTGCAGTTAAATAAGTTAAACCATATTAGTGTAATCAACAGACTATGAGGCAGAGTTCTACTGGACAATACTTACATATTATTTATTATGCAATGTGTAAGATAATTGCCTTTTTGAATAAATTTACCTTTCCAGAAAACCTGTTTCTTCATTATTATTAACCTTTTAAATAAGTGAAAGTCTTGAATGTATGCTATCTGACTCCTCTATCATAATTTTTTTCCAGAAATGATAAAACTAGACCTGATTCTGTCCCTTTTTCACAGATATTACAAATATATGGGATAGAAAAAATAATATTCACTCCAGTGACATACACAAAACTTACAAATCTAATTTCATTTCACCACCAAATGAGCATTAAAGCAATAATCATTAATTGATGTTCAGCGTCTTTTCAAAACACACTTTGTTTTGTATTTTTATGTATTTTTCTACAAATGTTAGCTGGATCTTTCCATGTGACCATGACTCTCTGCACAAAATCTGAGTGTAAATTCTTCACTAACTACACCATAGTATGTTGAATAAACTACCAAGGCCAGAGAAAACCCAGTTCCCACTGACAGACACTAAGACTGAGAGAAAAGGAAGACCTTACACTGCATTGTAGCCTGGATAAGGTTGAGAGACATGTGATTAAGATCCACAAGATTCTCCTGCTCCCAAGCATCTGAAAGCATAATTTTCCATCAACCTAGGAAGTAATGCTCTGTTCCCATCATTCTTTCCTTTGATCTAGGTCTATATCAGCTCATTGATCACAGCTAACTCTATGTACCAGCCAGAGTCAGACAGACTTATCTAGAACAGTCAGGAAAACACAGAGTCAACCACCTCATTTTCCCAATTTAAATATACCAAAAATATAAGTTACACATACAAATCAATACCAAATTAGAACAAGAAAATTCTTGCACCTCTATCCCCTCCTGAGGGATAAATCAAGAGTAGAACCATACAGAAATAAATGCCTAACATCCTTTTCAAGAGAATACAAACATTATATGATTGGTGTGAAGGAAAGAGGGAATAACGTAAACTGAGATATTGCTAAATGTAGAGTTAATTTCATTTTCATATTAATTACAAAATCTATTTTGAGTGCCCAAAAGTTCAGACAAAACTCATTGTTAAATGAGAGTGATTGTGTAAACAGGATAGGAAATTACTCCCAGTGTGCAATCAAGATGAGGCAAAATAATCAACAAAGAAATAAAAACAAAAACATACAGTGTTTACATTTCTAAATGTAAACAATAGAGAATATTACACTTTATCTCTCAGCCATATCATCCATCAATAAAAGTACTATGTTTATGCTCATATGAAAGCAGTAAAGATTGAGTTTTAAAAATTATACAAAAAACAAGAAAAACTTCCATGAACCTTGTCCCAATTCTGCAATATTGCCATTCTGCACTCCAGGTATAAAGGAGAAGAAAGGAGTGTCAGCACATGCCACTGATTCAAGGTAACAAGATTATCAGTCAACACAGAGTCTGTGTACTTTTATGGAAAAATTGTTTTATCACCTAAACAGAACATGTATGAATCAAGACTATGATGGAAGATAAAACTGGGGTCCACAATTAGCATTTGCCAGAAAATCAAAATAGGACCTTAAGTTTAAAGGTCATAGTCATGGTAATTTGGAAAAGCAGATCAGCCTCCTGAGGTGGTACTGAAGATAGAGCACTAAAAGAGAAGAAAACCTGTAAATGACCAGGGGAGCCACTGTCATAGGGGCTGCTGTGTCATTTCAGATGCCCACCCTTTGTGTTTTCAGTACTTCTTTACTTTTTAACACAATTGCTCAGGCTTATTTTCTACTGAAGAACTCTGGTTCCTTTTCACAGAGAGTGGAATTTAGAAACCTGGGTCTGGGTCTGGGCCCAAGTAAGCTCTTTCTTTCTGGGATAAGATTGACTTAAGGTCCTTTTGAGTACACAGAGCAAGAATATAGACTGTTTTAGAATCTTCAGTTTGAAGATGCACCTATAATTGCAATCCAACACTACAGTGTTCTTCCTTTTTATTCCTGTTGCAAATTTACTTTTTTCTCCAGTAGTGATATCATTGGCTCCCAGCAATATCAATAGGTTTATACAACTGTTCAGCCCTACAATATACACAAGAGAGATTCAGAATTGAATCTACCAATACCAACAATAAATCTATGTTTGGAAGGTCAAGATTTTGGTACAGCTCTTTTTAACCTTAGATAAAGATATATAGTCAGGATATTATGTTCAAATTAATATCTAGTTTGTTGACAATATGATGAAAAAAAAGATCTTGTGTGTATATGCTTTTGTATTGTCAGAGGTGTACCTTCAGGGTAAATTATTACAAGCATGACTTTTTAGCCAAAGAAAAAAATGCATAGTAGCTTTTACTGACATTCTTAAATTGCTCCATAAGAATGGTATAATTTCTCTCACACCCACTCCCAAACCAGCAAGGCTTTGTGCCTTTCAGCCTTGTCAATATTCCATATTACACACTTTAGAGGTTTTCCAATCTGGTAGATGAGAAATTGTACCAGAGTATAATTTTAATTGCTTTCCTCTTGTTATACATAAAGTATCTATTCATAATTTAAGGGTCATTTTATACCAATTTGTAAATTATCTAGTCCTGTCTTTTACTTACTTTTGTTGCATTTTTAACACTTTTTTCTCCATATTAAGTGCTCTTTTTATTATAAAGTGCCCTTTATCTATGATGTATATTGAAATATTTTCCTATCTTGTCATTACTGTTTGACTATCTTCTACAAGTTGTCAGAAGAAAACAAATTAGACCAAACATCAACTTAGAAACTCAAACAATAGAGTGACAAGACGAAGTTTATTTTCTATTGCAACAAACATGGATTATCTTACAGTTTCTGCCGGTCATAGTCTCTCAGGAGGTGAAGCAAAGCTTCCTGGTGTACTACAATCATCTCAAGATTCAACTTGAGTTGGCAAATCCACTTCTGAGCCCCTTTAACTTGCTTTTGGTGGTGTTCAGGTTGTCCCATGTGGATCTCTTCAGAGGGAGCTTGAC